CATCATCATTTAATGCATGTAGATCACGAGTTGGTAGAGTTCGTGCCCGTGGACAAATAGGAGTATGAGGAAGTCATTGAAGAGTACGAGGAGGAGATCCTCGTGCAGGAGGGAGCCCCGGAGCCTTTTGGTGCTGACTTTGCTGACCCGTCGCCTGCCTAAGGCAAGCCCCGGTGCATAACCCCTATTTTTAATGATCACTGAATATATATATGATGTGCATTTATGTTACAGGTATTTTATGAAAACTACATGCATAAATATATCTACCTATGAGTCCTACTAGTATAGGTCGAGTAGCTGCTATGATCAGGATGTCGGTAGCGTGAGTAACCTGCCGTTACACACAAATAGGTGATAAATATGATCACTCATGATAAAATGTTGTGAAGGTAAATGGTGACCGAGCAGGGATGTGGTTTGGGTATTGGTGGGTGTAAGGGGTTGTGTCCTGCGGCCAACAGGGCATAGCTCGATTACACTTTTTCTCTATCTGTGTCGATTAAGGACCAGTCGTTGCATAAGGCATCGTGGGCAAGTCATAGACTTATTATCCCGAGCACATACTTGGGTATGGGCGCTTGGAAGACTTGTTACTCTCTTGTCATGGGTTCCGGCTTTTTCCGGACCAACTGTCAGGGTGGTTTTTGGGTTAGGAGGTCCTTGCACCGCACTGAGTCCGGGACTCAGGTCGGGGGCTTGGAGACCCGGTTTGGACGGGGACCTGGACCCCGTGACAGGAGGGTAGTGGGTTGGTCCTGCTTGTGCCCGGGGTACAAGCGGGGCGTGTGTTTTCGGGGTACCCAGCTAGGGGCATTGATTTGTGAATCGCCGGGCAATCCGGTATGGCTTGTTTCGTGTCTAGCACCGTAGTAAAAACTGAAGGATGGAAGATAATGAAATGGAACTGATTGCTCAACTCTTGCTTGAAAGTAGAACAGGTGCTTACATAGAATGGATAGATAATAAATTAATACGGCTATTAATAACATCATAAGTAAGGACTCACTAATAGTATTGGTTTCTGCCAAAAGAAAACCAGCAAACCATAAAGCTTATCATATTCCTTGGAGTCGGGACATTATTCCCACTAGTCGGATAAGTCTTGCGAGTACATTGTGTACTCAGAGTTTATTTACCCCTGTTACAGGTAATGCATGAGAAGTAACTTTGTGTGGAGGATTCTTCTGGTGGGCTCAGACGGATCCTCGTCCCTTATCGCTAGATGTTTATTTTTAAATTTTGTTGTTTATCATTCCGCACTCTGACATTTGGTAATGTAATAATGTAATTTCTAAGAACTTCTGATGTATGAAATGGACAAGTATTGTAACTCGTTCTCATTATTAGATCCTTGGGGAAAATATGGATCTTTCGGGTTCTCCCTTGGGGTGTGCTCGACGGATACCGCCCGTTGTAGCTTGCTTTCGGGGTGCTTAGAGTCTGGTGGAAGACGAGCACCTCCGTAAGCGTGTTATTGTGGGCGGTTCTGCCACACTACTCGTCCAACTTAGCTCTTTTACCCATTTGTTCAGCTGAAAAACACTTTTGGAGTGCAAGGGAGAGCAAGAGCCTAGTGGGATGATTGAGATTTGATAATCCAAGATTAAGGACCTCATTAGTGCATAGGAAGTAGCAAGTGTGCATCCACCTTTCTCATTAGGCTTGTATTGATCAAGTGAGAGTTTGTGCTTGTTACTCTTGGTGATAGCCATCACCTAGACGGCTTGGTGGTGATTGAAAACTTGGTGATCATCTGGTGGAGCTTGTGGATGACCCAAGTCATGGTGTGAGCGGTTGTGGGCGATTCACCACGACGGAGTGTTAAAGAATCAGCCCGTGGAGAGTACTTGATCCTTACGCAGATCAAGGGGGAGCTACACCCTTGCGCGGGTGCTCCAACGAGGACTAGTGGAGAGTGGTGACTCTCTGATACTTCGGAAAAACATTGTCGCGTTCCTCTCCTCTTTACTTTGAGCATTTATTTTTGAGCAATTCAATTAATGTATTTACATTCTTAGAATTGCCATGTTAGAGTAGAATTGGAACCTATGGTGCAAAACTTTTGTGTGGTAGAACAATAGAAACACCTCTAGGCACAAAGGGGGTGAAATGGGTTAAGTGTAGGACTTAATTATTGAAAGAAATTTAGAATTAGCCCAATTCACCCCCTCTTGGGCATCTTGATCCTTTCAGTAGGTCTTTTCTATGGAAGGGGGAAGAAAATGCGAACGGGGGACATTGGCTCGTCAATTGGCCAAGTGTGTCCAAACCTAAGGAGCTTGATGGTCTCGGGGTGCCTGACCTGGACAAGTTTGGTATAGCACTTCGATTACATTGGCTGTGGCAGGACTGGGTGGATCCCTCCAAGCCATGGGCCAGCTTCGAGTTGCCTTGCAAAACAACCGACAGATTGTTGTTCAATGCATCAACCATTGTCACAGTCGGAAACGGCATGAAAGCGCAATTTTGGCACCAAAGCTGGCTAGAGGGAGAGGCTCCCAGGAACCTTGTGCCGCAACTCTTTGAGCTTGTGAGAAGAAAGAATAGATCGGTCCAGCAGGAACTCCTAAACGACGGCTGGATTCGATCTCTCACGGGCAAGATCACAACGGCCACACACCTAGAGGAATTCATATCCTTGTGGATCAGAATACAAAACATCCAGCTGCAGCCGGGAGTACAAGACTCCATTACTTGGAAGTGGACGCCTAATGGCATATACTCCACCCGCTCGGCATACCGCATACAATTCCAAGGATGCTACGGGAGATTCCGGCCAGACCTTATATGGAAAGCACATAATGAGAATAAATGTAAATTCTTGGTCTGGATCCTTGTGCAAAACAAAATCCTCACGGCTAACAACTTGCAGTTAAGAACTGGCCGCACCAAGACCACTGCGTCATGTGCAATGGACCACTGGAATCGGGCCTTCACCTATGCTTGTTGTGCCCTCTAGCCAAAGAGATTTGGAACCTTGTGCTGACCTGGGAACATTTTGATGTGCAACTAATCCAGCCACAGGTCTAGCCAACAGAAATTTGTGCTTGGTGGGAGGAAGCGGCTGCCACAATCCTAAGGCAGCGATGATGACACTTCAACGGAGTAGTGATTTACACAATGTGAAACATTTAGAAAGAAAGAAACAGAAGGATTTTTCAAAACACTGCCATGGACGCAAGACAAGTGGCCTCCAAAACCAAATAAGACATTGACCTTCGATCATGGGTCTTTAGCAGCATTACTTAGCCCCTCTATGTTTTTTCCCTAAGGGGAGAGGAGATCGTTCTTCTTCTGTACCTGGGCTGTGGCCTTTAGGGTGTTTTAGGCCTTTGGACTTTCTGTACATAAATCTCTATCTTTTCTTAATTAAGAGGCACAGCTCCTGCTAAGTTTTTTTTTAAAGATGGGCGTACGAGCTGTTATGACTTACGAGTAAAACAGGGCAGCTGCTGTGCTCATAGCAGTTGCTTATGAGGAAAACGTGGCGGCGTTCCTGCCTGCCTGCATCTTCCAGGACACCATCAGGCATCAGAGCAAGCGATCGCTTGCAGAATCAATATTCAATTTTGCAATTTGAAACACAGCCCGGTTATTTTCTCATGTACTCGCCACAAAAAAACCCATTTAAATTACAGAGGAAAAATGTCAAAATACTGTTCATATGGTCTATCACTAAACTAGTAAACTCTGAGGTTGGAGTGTTCTGATTCACATGGTAGACCCTAGCTGGTCATCTTTCAGCCCTACAGTGATAATAGTGTCCAGGCCACACGATTTTCCCTCAAAGTAAAGAAATACAATTGCATATTTTCGAACAAGTGGGAACATGTAACCTTTGTAAAGCAAGCATAAACTACACTCAGAGCAATGAGCAAAACGAGAGCAAAAGAAACGCCTTGCCTTGCTGAAACATCGAGAAAGAATCAAGAAACCAAGGGGACCAGCAAGGTTCCAAAGGCCTGAATGAAGATCACAGTTTTTTTTTGGGGGGGGAAACAGCTGTAAAGGGAGCAGTATACCCTACACTGAGCTGGGATTTGCCAAACGTGAGTGAACAAAACGTAAATGCTGTAAGGCTACAGCCCACAGCACTGCTCCATTGCCACTGGTCAATATACTTCAATTGCAACGAGGAGAATAAAGCTCCAGTGTGAAAAATAAAATAAGATAAAGGGATTTCTTTGGTTAAAGCAAACCAGGCCACAAAAGCCTCTGAATTGCTTTTGCTTTGTAGATGAATGAATACGCACTTTGCTCTTTTTTCCCTCTTGGCTCCATCACGTAATTGAGTATGTAACCCAGCTGAGAACTTTTTATTTTCTGGATTAGATGCAAATGTGATCTGATTTCGTTTTCTTCCCTGCTATATTGAAGACCAACTTCAAAATTTATGAGACCTATTGTTTTATGTGTACATAGCATAGTTCAGAGCACAACTTTCCATGTTATAGGCGAGGCAACTAAACACTTTACTTCACAAACCCGACAATGTTTCATTTCATAGTTTTCACAAATAAGTAAGTATTTCCTCCGTTCTAAATTGTCAGTTATTTTGACTTTTCTAGATACATAGCTTTTGTTATACGCCTAGATATGAATGACTTATAATTTAGAACTGAGTACCAAGAAAAGAGCCTGACTGTCATAGCAAGTGATTATGTCAACTTCATTAAGAATAACATGGGTCTTTCATGCAGGCAACTTCACCAACACTCCTCTTCCAGTCTTCCTAGGTCCTACTCAAATCCAGGCAGATGCACCTTGACTCTGCATCACATCACATGACCTCATCTTTACTCTCTCCATATCTCGCAAACCTTTTCCATCACAGCCCGTACCCACATTCGCTTCAAGCTTCTGCAACGAAGTGCCTGTATTCCTTCGTGCCACCTTGCATGCCTTCCCTTGCCGGCGACGGGGAAGCCGACCGCTTAACCAACAGGCGGACACGTTCATCGGCGACCGGCGCCACCATCTTGCCAGCCCCGCCGGTCATGGCGTACGCATACCCGTACGTCTTCCGTGCCCAGGCGCCACCAGTGAGAGTGGAGGATCACAAGGCCAAGGACGCCGCGCCTGTTCCGCAGGTCAAGGAGCATTGGCCCGCAGGCGGTGGCAGCAGAAGCGCAGGAGCCGGGTGGCTGGACGGCCTTGGCTCAGGGGAGAGCCAGAGGCTGGCGAGCACCTACGACCTCGTGGAGACGATGCATTACCTGTACGTGCGCGTCGTCAAGGCGCGCGGGCTCCCAGCGAGCGCCGTCACCGGCGGGTGCAGCCCCTACGTCGAGGTCCGCGTCGGCAACTACCGCGCCGCCACGCGGCATTGCGTGGGGAAGGCCAGCCCCGAGTGGAACCTGGTGTTCGCCTTCTCCAGGGACCGTGTGCAGGCCACGGTGCTCGAGGTGTTCGTCAGGGACAGGGACGCCCTGGGGCGCGACGACTGCGTCGGCAGAGTCGCGTTCGACATCGCCGAGGCGCCCGTGCGCGTGCCGCCGGACAGCCCGCTCGCGCCGCAGTGGTACCGCCTCGACGGTACTAATGGTGGGAAGATGGCGGCGAACGGCGAGGTCATGCTCGCCGTCTGGGTCGGCACGCAGGCAGACGAGGTGTTCTCGGACGCCTGGCACGCCGACGCCGCCTCGGTCCTTGGTGGTGACGGCGCGGCGGCCGTGCACAACACGCGGTCCAAGGTGTACGTTACGCCCAAGCTGTGGTACCTCCGGGTAAGCGTGCTCGAGGCTCAGGACGTCGTGCCGCCCGCGCCGGGTGCCGGTGCCACTGCGGACAAAGGCCGGCACGCCGAGGTCTTCGCCAAGGTGCAAGTCGGCGGCATGGTCCTCAGGACTCGGCCCTGCACCACCAGGGGTCCGACGAACCTTGCGTGGAACGAGGAGCTGGTGTTCGCCGTGGCTGAGCCGTTCGATGACCCGGCGATTCTTATCATCGAGGCCCGCGTTCACCCCGGTAAGGACGAGATCGTCGGGCGCGCCTTGCTGCCGCTCACGCTCTTCGAGAAGCGGCTAGACCGCCGCCCGGTCCAGTCGCAGTGGTTCAGCCTGGAGCCCTTCGGGCGTCCGGCGCGCCCGCCGGAGGCCGTCTTCGCCGGCCGCGTGCACCTCGTCATGGAGGAGCCGACCATGTACGCCAGCGACACGCGCCCCACCGCGCGGCAGCTGTGGCGCCCGCCGATCGGCGTGCTGGAAGTCGACGTCCTCGGCGCGCAGGGGCTCACGCCGATGAAGACCGTCGACGGCCGGGGCATGACCGACGCGTACTGCGTCGCCAAGTATGGGCAGAAGTGGGTGCGCACGCGAACCGTGGTGGACTCTTGCAGCCCCCGGTGGAACGAGCAGTACACGTGGGAGGTGTACGACCCGTGCACGGTGCTCACGCTCGCCGTGTTCGACAACTGCCACCTCGGCAACGCCGCCGTCATCAGGGACCAGAGGATCGGCAAGGTCAGGATCCGCCTCTCGAACGCTCGAGATGGACAAGGCGCGCACTAGCGCGCACCCGCTCGTCGTGCTGCACCCGTCCGGCCTGCGCAAGAACGGCGAGCTCTGCCTGGCCGTGCGCCTCACCTGCCTCTCCCTCGGCAGCGTGGTGCGCCTCTACGGCCAGCCCCGCCTCCCCAAGGTGCACTACATCCAGCCGCTCACCGTCGTGCAGCTTGACAGCCTGCGGCGGCAGGCAATGAGCATCGTGGCGGCGAGGCTGAGCCGGGCCGACCCGCTGCTGCGCCGTGAGGTCGTGGAGTACATGCTCGACGCGGACTCGCACGTCTGGAGCATCCGGCGGAGCAAGGCCAGCTTCTTCCGCGTCACGGCGCTCCTCTCAGGCGCGGCCAGCACCGCGCGGTGGCTCGCCGACGTTTGCCGCTGGAAGAACCCGGCGACGACGGTCCTCGTGCACGTGCTCTTCGTCACCCTCATGTGCTTCCCGGAGCTCATCCTGCCGACCACGTTCCTGTACATGTCTACGGCTGGCCTCTGGAACTACCGCCGCCAGCCGCCGCACATGGATGCGAAGCTCTCGTGCGACGAGGCGACCCACCCCGACGACCTCGACGAGGAGCTGGACACGTTCCCGACGTCGAGGCCCTGAAGTCTTCGGCTCGCTGGGGCCCGCCGCCAGAGGCGAGGAAGACGACCCTGAATCGATGAAACGGTTACTGGAACACACGCGAACTCAGTGGATCAACACAGAGGATTTTGGTGCTGGAACTACTCAGCGTTTTCTGACTCTATGCATTGCAATTTATACAAGAAACGAATGGCTCTCGGCCACCCGGACACAGCGCCATGCGCGCCACTCCTCCCGACTTGATCGCGCCATCCCACGACCGGACAAGTGGAGCGCTAAGCTTCAGCTACGACTCGAGACAAACCCGGAGAGAGCACCTACATGACTGCCTCACCGCGAACGATGCGCGATTCAGGCGTACAAGACGCACCCATGTACCGGGTTCAGTTATTTGCTAAGACTGACAGACTCGCTAACTGAAAACTCTAAAACCACGGACTGAAATGACTGAATGATACTAACAATCTCCCCCTGAATGAAGTCGTTTCAGCCCAGGTTTACAATACCAATCTTCTCACGAAGCTCGCAGAACCTTGATCGCCCAAGCGCCTTCGTCATCAGATCGGCCAGCTGCTCCTGAGAGCTCGCAAACTCCAGCGAGATGCTTCCCTTGTCGTTGCATTCACGAATGAAATGAAATTTAGTATCGATATGCTTACTTCGATCATGCAGCACCGGGTTCTTGCTGAGTGCGATTGCAGACATGTTGTCCATCTTCAGTTTAGGCGTCTGAGGATCATCGCCCATGATATCCTTCAGCAACCTTGTGAGCCACACCGCCTGACACGCTGCTCCAGCGCCGGCGATGTACTCCGCTTCGCAGGATGAGAGCGCCACCACTCTCTGCTTCTGGGACTGCCAGGCCACCGCCTTTTGCCCCAGGAAGAAGACGATGCCCGTAGTGCTCTTCCCGCATCCGTCCGTATCTCCCCAAATCGCTATCATCAGAGCCGATCAGATTGTTGTCGCTGCTGACGACTTGGGGTAGATGAGTCCAAACTCAACTGTCTGCGGCGATGTAGCGTGGCGTGATGCTTCACCGCCGCCATGTGCTCCTGCCTTGGCTTCTCCATGAAGCGACACACGAACCCCACCGCGAGATGTCCGGGCGAGTGTGCACCAAGTACCGAGATCGCCCACCGTGTCAAGCGGTACTTTCATTGCATCGACCAAGGCGGTCGTTCCATCCTTCGACAGCCTTCAATCGAACTTCCATTGGGTGTGTGACAGGGTTGCACCCGCCATACCTGCTTCTGCAGCGCAGACTTGCCCCATATGCAGCCTGCCAAGGGTGATTGCGCTTTTGGATTGCCTCACCTCAATGCCCAAGTAGTAGGACAGCAACCCGAGGTCGCTCATCCTAAACAGCCGCATCTCCGCCTTGAAGGCTTCAACTCCACCCTCCTTGGCTCCGGTTATGATCAGATCGTCGACGTAGACGCCTACGATCACCCGAGAAGACCCCTTGCCACGGGTGTACATGCCATGCTCGCTGACACAGCGCGTGAAGCCGAGGTCACTCAGGCTCGCATCAAGCTTCTAGTTCCACGCCCGAGGAGCCTGACGAAGCCCGTAGAGTGCCTTCTTCAGACGAAGCACCTTCTTCTCATGCCCCGCCGCGATGAAGCCCGGCGGCTGCTGCACGTACACTTCCTCCGCGAGATCACCGTTGAGAAACGCTGACTTGACATCCATATGATGGACAAGCCAGCCTTCCTGTGCAGCAACAGCAAGAAGCATTCTCACCGACTCCATTCTCGCCACCGGCGCAAACACCTCGTCAAAGTCGATGCCGGCCTGCTGGACGTAGCCCTTGGCCACCAAGCGCGCCTTGTACTTACTGATCGCCCCCAGTTCGTCGCGCTTGATCTTGTACACCCACTTGAGCCCGATTGCACGGTGCCCTTGTGGGAGACTCACCAGAGTCCAGGTGTTGTTCTGCTCGATCGAGGAGAGTTCCTCGAGCATGGCCTTCCGCCAGTCCTCACTGCCACGTGCTTCATCAAATGTCGTGGGCTCTCCGTCGACAGCGACGAGCAGCTCGCCACCCACCGCGCGATCCGCCTCCCTTGGAACGGGCTCATCACCGAGGACATTATCCATTGTCCTGAACCTCAGCGGCGCGTCGTCGGCATCAGCGTCCAGCATTGGTTCCCCCGAAGGAGGTGAGGCGAATTCCACTCCAACCGGGGTTCCCGGCGCAGGTGTAGCCTCTGGTGTCGCCGGAGGGGATGCGGGACCCATAGTCGGTGTCGAGGGCCCCGGCGAGACCGGTGGTGTTGGCGCTGGTGACTGCAGCGGTGTCAGCCCTGGTGACTGCGGCGCGTGTCCGCCGCCCAGAGCAGACATGATCACGTACTCCACCATGAACGGCTCCCCCGAAGCCATACTTGGCAGATCTGCCGCAGCATCTTCCCACTTCCAAGGCCTCCCTTCTTCGAACACAGCGTCCGCGAGATGCGTATACCGCATGCTCGGGTTGTAGAATCTGTAGGCCTTCGTCCCCGGCTCATATCCGATGAATGCCATGGGAGTGCTGCGATCATCCGACTTTTATACCGGTGACCGCCAAATGACCTTCACATGTGCCCGTGCAACCAAAAGTGCGAAAAGAAATGCACAAATGCTTGGAACCATACCGGACTTCGTAGGGCGCCTTCCCCGCCCACGCTCCTCGTCGGCGACCGGTTCAATATGAAGACGGCCGTGCACACCGCCTCCCCCCAAAGCCAGCCGGGCACGCGTTCATGCCCTTCATCATGCTCCGTGCCATGCCTAGCACGGTCTGGTTCCGTCTTTCCACCACGCCGTTTTGCTGAGGTGTGTACGGCGCGGTGAAGTGACGTTGCACGCCATGGTCAGCGCAGTGCTCCTCGAACACTCGCGCTGTGAACTCGCCTCCACGGTCCGTGCGCAGGGTCCCCAGCTTGCAGCCGGCTTCCCTCTCCAGCCTAGCCTGCAGCTGGATGATGGTCGCCGAGGCTTGATCCTTGGACGCCAGTAGGATCAACCACATGTACCTGCTTCGATCATCCACAACAAGCAGGAACAAACATTTGCCGCCGGGTGTCGACGGCGTGATTGGACCGCACAAATCCGCGTGAACAAGCTCCAGGGATCTTGATGCGCGGAACTTGCTCGCCACTGGGAATGGTTGCCGACGCTGCTTCCCAGCGAGGCAGCTCTCACACACCTGCTCGACGTGGTCGATTTGAGGTAGACCGCGCACCATCTTCTTCTTGGCCAGCAGCTTCAGTCCATGGAATCCGAGGTGCCCGTACCTCGTATGCCATTTCCAGGACGTGTCATCCGCGTGCGCCGTGAGGCACACCGGAGCACTGATGTGGACGTCGAGGAAGTAGAGGCGGTTCGCCGCTCGTTGCACCTTCACCAGGAGTCGACGCTGCTGATCCCAGACGCGCAGAACGCCGTCCTCGATCAGTACCTTGTACTTGTCCTCATCAAGCTGCCCGAGGCTGATGATGTTGGCGGTGAGCTTGGGGATGTAGTAGGCTCCTCCGAGCCTCTGATGCTCCCCGGTCTTGCAGCTGAAGAGGATGGTGCCGCGCCCTTGAATGTCCACCACGGACCCGTCGCCAAACCGTACAGTGCCGTGCACGCCGGTGTCGAGCTCGGAGAAGGCCGAGCGCACGCCGGTCATATGGTTCGTCGCGCCCGTGTCGAGGATCCAGCGCGTCTTGTCATCAGCGCACTTCTCCCCGAGTTGGACGAAGAGCTTGTCCTCCTGGATGTGGACCTGCTCATCGGCGGCGTGCAGGGTCGGTGAAGCCAACGCCACGTGCGCTGTGGTGTCTGCCGTGTACACGTCGGAGAAGACCCAACGCGTCCTTGCGCTCCCGTCGCCCACTGGAACGTGCTCCACGTCCACCTGGGTGTCCGCCGGATCGATGGAGACCTCCGCGATCCCCACCATCAGCGCCGCCTCCGCCTCAGCTTCGGCGGCATGGGCTTGCTCATCCCGCTTCTTCTTGCGGCACTCGCGAGCCCAATGCCCCGTCTTGCCGCAGTACGCGCACTCATCCCCGGCGAGCTTCTTCTTCTTACCGTTGTCACTCCCACCGGCAGGTGGTTTGGAACCGCCACGGCTTCCTCCGGCTTGGGCAGTACTGCCGCCGCGGCCACGCCGTTGGCCGGCGGGTGAGGACCGCCGGCCTCCAGACCCGCCACCGGATCCAGCTCCACCGGAAAGTTGAAGGCGCGACATGACGCGATCCACCAGCTCGTCCTCCGTCAGGTTCAGCCGCGCCGTGGATGACCCGGTGTTGCCACCGAGATCATAGCGTTCCTCGGCCGCCTTGAGCCTCCCAACCAGCTCGTCCACCGAGAGCGTCTCCAGATCAAGCAGAGTTTCAATTGCCATAACAATTTGGGAGTACCTCGCCGGTGTCGCCTGAAGGAACTTGCGGACGATCTCCGGCTCGGTGAACCCAGCCTCCAGGACCTCGAGCTGATTGCCTATGTCGGTGATGCGAATGGCGAATTCGTCCACCGTCTCCGCGTCCTTGAACCGCAGGGCCTCGAATTCCCGTCGAAGCGTGTTCGCCTTCGCCTGACGGACGCGATCCACCCCGAGATGGATCTTCTTCAGCGAATCCCACGCCGCCTTGGCCGTGGGCTTCCTGGCCACGTTGCCGTCACAGCCTCGGGGCGCCCATGGCGATGACCTCCAACGCGTTCTGCTGCCGCCGGTCGTCCGTCCCCCGACGTTCACCGCCGTCCCACAGCGCCGCGCGCGAGCTTCGACTTCATGAGCGCCGCCCATGAGTAGTAGTTCGTCTTGGTGAGAAGGGGAACTTGTTCTTCCCGGTCTCCTCACGCACGACCCGGCCGATCACGGATCGCGAGTACCACCCGCACCGCCGCCGCCGAGCCGCTTCCCGACGCAGCGGCGACGACGATCGATTCTCCGCCGATCCATGAATGCCGCGCGCGATAAGCGCGGTCGCGCGTCCACCGCCGGAACCTCGCCCTGATACCAGATGAAGTCTTCGGCTCGCTGG